TCTCTCTCTCTCTCTCTCTATATATATATATATATATATATATATATATATATATATATAATCTACCTAAAACTGCCAACTAATTTTCGTGATGAGGCTGCCACGGTGCAGAGGTCCAGCAAAATCCATCAGATGGATGTTAGCTTTCGAAGTTTTGTCCTTGCTAAAAGGGCTGCGGGAGATCACCCAACAAGCAGTAGACAGTAACTGTGCTGCAAGAAGCCGAAAGACGGAAGCGCCAGACCGAGCTTCCGAAATATCCCTCGAAATTAGACAGTGATTGGAAAATCAAAGCACCAAGCTCCAAGTGCACACTAAAAAATGAATACTCTTTCGAACTGATAGGAAATTGTGGAGCGAAAATCTAACATTTCTAGCTGATAGAAGACAAGCATAGCGTCGGAAAACCCAAACAACCTGGGCGATTTCCGACAACTTGGAAGCATACTGATTTTGAACACAGTCAGTCTACCACTGGGCCAATTTGAGTAGTAATACTCGTTCACCTCAGCACACCATGAAGAGCAACTGGACTGACCTAACTACGGATGTGATCATACAGACGGCCATCAGCGAGTTTTAAAATGACAGAGCAAGAACAGCAAGACTTGCAGGTTCAAAATGGGAAGGCTGACACAACAGGACGACGTGTTCCGAACAGCATGCATAATTTGGGAGATGAAATTTGTTCTACAATTATTCAACGATGCAGGAATTATTCCTTCTTAAAAAGCATTGGAATTTGCAAAAAAGGCTACCACGGAGTCAGCCTCTTATCCAGGGCATGTAAGATTATAGCTTCTAACGTGAGCAGAAAACCGGTTGCTGATATTATGTAATAAAACGTCCTAAAGAGCACCTGAGCCAATTGTTGTATCGTAGTATCCAAAGCAGAAATGTCGTGAACAAAGCCATCCGCTCTACAAGTTTTGCGTGACCCTCGAACAAGGTTTCGATTCAGCCAGTAAATGCGCACCGTGCCTTACCTCAAGAAAGCTTGACCACCTGGGCGAATCGGTCGTCCTTAACAATGCCTTTCATGTTGGGATCAGAACCCGGCTTTTGGCCTTCGCATATATGTGCACCAAGTTTAAAATCGACACTATAATGAGACAGGCCTGCTAACCTGCACTAGTCCGTTTTCAACCTCTGTTTAACGACCGTCTGCGCAGAGAATGTTCATCAGTGAGAAGGCGATGTACTAACTGAAACCAGCCTACCAGTCATTCGTTCTGTGCCAAGAATTTATGACCATATCAAATAAAAATGAGCCCAAATTATGTATAACGCAGTAAGCACGAGATTGCATCTCAATCCTGCAGACTAAATCTTTATTCTGAGGCTTTCGGCAGCCAACTATGGCCAGTGCACTAGTGGCACCACGCTTCACCGCTGACAAACAATTGCTTCTAAATCCGGTGAGACCTATCGCTTTGCATTAGGGCACAACAGTAAATCATTCAGTAAAATAGTTCTAAGACAGTTTGGTATACTATTCCTGATACCCTGACAGCATATTATTCGTTAACCAAACAATTTATGCTGCAGGAATTGAGTAGGTTAGAATTATATCCCGAAAATCACTTGACGCAACCACACATTTTGCTTGAATACCGCTGACGGCCAGCGCCTCTCCCACCAGTGAGCATCAAACTCGCTTCATATGCCAGTCACTAATATATATTAGATCGATTTGACCAATGAGTTTGGCTGCTGGTCTTGCAAAAATTACATGGAGAAAGGTTAACAACTTCCTAGCCGTACTCCGAATAAAGAGTGAATCCAACCAGACTGAACAATGGCTCACATTATTTCGCGTGAGTTAAACTTGCACTTCAATGAATGCAATTTGTAAAAGCCGATTAAAACAGAAATGGTTAGATGAGTGATGAGTGATGATACTGATATTTCTAGGTTCATTACGTCCGCCTAGAAAAAACTCGGTGTGTGCTAAAAACAAGTATCTGGTTGACTGGAATTGACAAATTTTTTGGGAGCTTAGGGTGAGCTTTTCCTTAGGTAGCTTTTCCTCTTCTGGTCCGAGGGTCAGCTGTATCCCGAAGTTTCCGTGGAGCATTTAAAAATTGCGGCTACACATAATTTTTACACCTTCATATCTACACTGGTTGGCTTTCCACCAAAAGGGAGCTGCTATGCTTGGGTGGCTATTTGAGTTGAGTTTATTTATAATTAAAGGCTCCTGCTTACCACACGCTGTGGCAAAAGCATATGACTATCCTACTTTCTAAACACAACAATAGAAATCTTACTTCCAAAAGGTTATCCCACCGTAGCTAAACTATAAGCCCAAAGGAAAATAGATAGGAGCTTTGAAACTGTTCATAGTATAAAAAATCAAATAAACCATTATGTGACAATCTTAGTTTTTAGTTTGAATCGGCTTACGGTTAGCCAAGGCTTGCTGAGCTACATTCATCAAAATAAAACTAGATTGAAGGGAGAAATCCTAACATCGTATTCAAAGGTTGCTTTTGTGCCAACTGTTTTATCTACCTCAACGAGGCCTTTGCAACGATATACAACGGCATTCACTTTATATCATTTATTTCGTCAGTAATGGTTACAATATATTGAAAGACATTAGGCTAGAACATTACAACCTGGGTATGACGAAAAATTTCAAATGGGGGTGATACAAGTTCTAGTTTAAACGCTCGCAATTCTCTAAGCCGGTATAATCAATCATCATGTATGCTTTCAAGAATCATTTCACAGTGTTCCCTAGATATTTGCCCCTATTAGCTCTATTGTGTAACCCACTAAATTCAAGACACTCACAACAAAATGCCAGACAATCAGACAACAATCAAAGTGTGGCGTTCTCAGTGAGTTCTGATATCTAAGTCATTCAGATACTAGACTTTCACCTAGTGCATTCACATGACTGTCTCAAAAGTATGCTTCTCAAAGAAGAGAAAATACGTGGTTTTTAAGAGCTGAATTCTCAATCCTGGAAGACCACAAAACAGTGGAGCCAATACAGAAGAATATTTGAGTCATGGCTTGAAGCGCATCTGATCAAAGAGACACCTTATACGGCGACATTGACATGCATCATTTTTCCTAGTCTCCATGTCAACCTGTGCACGCAAATTACACCTTCACTTTGTAGGCTCACGTTGTAGACAGGCTCATGTGTCCTTCGTTCATTACCCGCCAAGTAGCACTCTTCTATAATTGGGATTTTAGACGCTGTGTTTGATAAACACGGTGGTTATGTAATTTTCATGAGGTGTGTGTAGACCATTCTGCTACGCGATGTACAGCTCTTGCAAACGTCCCAGAGAGACAGATCTAAACACATATGCGTGGATATGACATCCGACAGATTGGTTTACACGTGCACCAGTTGTGTACACTTATTTCGTTACTGGAGTTTATGGGAAGTATTCAATTTACACATAAGCGAAAACGTAGGTGGTAAGTATCTTACCCTGGGGAATTTTGAATTTTCATTTCCGCGTCGGGGTTGTAAACTGGTACAGGAGATGGAAGCTTGGAAATAATAGCTTTCAGTGTATCCACTTGGGAATGTAGCAGCTAAAAACAGAGCGGTGAGTTAAAGTTACTTAGGCTGATTAGCTGCACCAAATACAGACCAAAACTCTACACGCAAAACAGTTCTTTTTGCCTCAACGTATGCTGTTAGTAGAGGCATACAGATGGACAATCACGTGAGATGATTTCCTTCAAGAAGTTAGTTTACCACCAGTCTACTTTTATTGCCATCACTATGCACAGTGGTGGACAACCATTGACGTCGAAATAAACTTAAAGGGGGCACCACAAGTACGCTTTAGGCGGCAATTCGTTTTGATGGAAATTCTGTTAATAGTTGTGGGACGCGTTTATGTGGTTCCCTAAATAACACCTTGGAACTGCTGGTGTGACAGGCACTTGTTCAACCTCTTCACACCCATTCGGTAGGCCCCACTACGATGAAATACTTGCTTGATTTACCTTTCCAAAGCCCAACCAGATACCTATGGGAGTTTGCTTAAAAGATTATACATGCTCAAAGATTATATATGCTGCTTTCTACAAGAAAATGACAACCACAGTAGGAGATACACGGGTAATTAAGGTCTACGATTTAATTTTTTAGAACAAGGATTTCATGAAATTCACAATAGTTAAACAGGTGTAAAACATGACTCATCCTTAAATACACCCATTTACACACCAGTTTGGTTTTAGCGGGAGAATCAAATGCATCCACTTGATGAACTTTATTAAGGGTGAAACGGGTCAAGTGGGCTGCTTGAAGCAACCTTATGGATAGTTTCCCTTGGGGAAACGTCACTCATGTTTTTGGGATGTTTTGAGTGTAACTACTTGCTGATAAACTTTGGCTTATATTCGTACACTAAAGTGATTTGTCCTTTACTTATCCTAGTATCTGGGTGGCACCTAAGGTGGATGGGGTTTATTTCTACCATAGAATGTGAAGTCCAGTCCTTTCATTTGTATGTGCAATTGCACTAACAATCATTACCTTTTAGGATATAGTTTTCTAGTCTTAAATCAGTTTCTAGATTACCATTATATTTATCTAATGTGACGTAGTACGTCACTCTTCTATTACTCTCCTTACAACGACTTCCCTTTCAAAAAATCTCTATAGCTTGGCACGACTACCGCATTGTTAGCCTATTCTTCCTCCTCTCCATCATTCCACAAGCACTTCTATATACGACAAGACTACTCTGGCTTTCTTGGGGAAAAAGATGCAGTGTTTCGCAGTCTGAAATGACAACCGCAAACTTATAAACGTAGTGAATTATAAAAGATTTATTCATGTTTAACGTGTTTAAATGAGACAAGGATGCAATTATTCCTCTTCATTATTCAAGCGTTAATTCCTTATTCTATGGGTGACGCATTTTCCATCAGTGCTTAAAAGGTCAGAGCTACGGTTGACGTGAGATCCAACTACTGGCTGTTTGGACAGCGTAGTTACTGACAATTTCGTAGCACACTTACTGAGTGACCTAATTAATGTTACCGATGAAATGTCCCTGGAAGATCTGCAGATATGACATCTTGTTTAGCTACACAGACAGCATTAGGACTGCAATGGATTCATCTCCAATATGTATTGTATTGCATTGTAATGAAAAACTGAGCGGTCAATAGACATATGGGCGTGATAGTTTTATGCTTTTATCCTTCACGAAAACACTGCAATGAGTGTGGTTGTATAGGAACCTTGACTAATTTACTTGTTGAGATGGTCAAGTTGGATTGATTTCGTTCCACCGGGCAGTACAGCTGGTTAGACTCACAGGTTTTCGAGACGTTTGTTCAAACAGGGCAGTAAAGAGAACTGTGAGGCACTAACTGGTGTGTTACAAGCTATTGGTTCGTGGGAATCCGGGGATCCTTATGACAAGGGTGTATTTATTCAGAAATGTCGCGCTGAACAGCGGAGTGATACTTCTACAGAATTTGATAAACGAGTTAATAAACAAGTCATTCTAAAATCTACTGACTTGAGAATGGTAATGTTTAGAATGAAAAGTGCCTAAGTATTCTTTCTAAGGTTCGCTCACTAAGCTCATCAGCAAAATTTACCATCAAGCTATGACGAAGGGACCAGAAGGACAGGCTCAATAGTGCCGGCGATAATTTTGATTTACACATGTGCATGTTTCTTCAAACCAAGTAGAAAAGCGCAGTTAAGAGGCGCAAGAATGAGGATGCGCAATAACTTGTTTTGAAACGTTCGAGTGTAGCGAACGTTGGACCTGACCTGGTATTCACAGTGTAGTGTACGTGCTTTCTGGTCTCACAACCTGGTAGCCGTTAGGAGGTTAGGAGATTACTTAAGGTATAAAGTCTCTCAGCGGTGAAGATGTCTGCACCTCACCTTTGCGTGCGTAGCAACGGCGGGGGGACTACGAAATTTTTCGTGAATGATGTAGTTCCGCATTGAAGTAAACCACTATGTTTCGTCGAGCGTTGTACCGCGTGCAAGCTTACTTCCACATACACCCAGTTTAGTAAAGTGAAACAAAAAATAAACCAACTCCAGCGTGATTCAGCCCCCCAAAATTACTCTTGTGAATTGGTCATGGGGTAAATTGCTTTTATTTGTCTCTGGGCCTGGTTGAAAAAACAGTGATGAAATCGTTGGCACAAGATCCCCGTCGCTCATGCTGGCAATCACGTACTAAGTTCAGGTCACGCATGCTCAAATTCAATGTGGGTTGAATACAAAACGCTTTCTCAGTTGATTCATCTGTGCCGTTCAAGGAATAAGCAACTCCGTAGCAATGAATCACCAGGAACGTCGACTCAGGCGGCAGCTGCTTGTTTTCCCCCAAACTTTTACTGGACTCACTTCATTTTCTTGTGCATTCTCCTTTGCTTTTTTCTCGGCCATATATTGTTTCGAACGGGCGGAAATGACCTATAAAGGACAGTTTCACCAATGGTCAACGGTGGCAGTCATACCATCTTGTTTGCCTCATCGAATAGCACGGCATTCAGCTCCAAACATTCACTGTTCATGTTTTCAATGTAGGATTTCAGTCCCCTGTTTTCTTCCAACAGCAACTTTATTTGCTCCTCGGTTGTCCTCATGTTGCCGTCGGGAGACCGAGGCTAAAACAAACAACGAAATGCAAGAAACCGAGAGATGAATTGGTGTAGAAGTCAGGCAAGAAGCTTTCTTTCATATGTGGTCACAAAATCCTAACAGCTTAGTTATTGACGACAAGTATGCAGTCGGGTTATTTTACATAATTCCGAGTCAATTTTATGGAATAATTTTTCTGCTTCACAGGGTGAAACACTTCTCCAAAAATAATGCATAGTTTGTTGAATTTCAAAATTTGATATGTCTGTAGTATTTGCATGTCCATTTGGGCTATGTTCGCTGTACACGTCTCTGGATGTAATGGCATCTTTAGGTGTGGTTTGTAAAATTCAAAAATAATATAAGACATAAGGTAAAACTGACTGTTCTTGTGTCACTTTTCTAGTCCTAGCTCTGGAAATTCTCATCTTCTTTCAAATAACAATTCAGTGAAGGAGTACAATGTATCAGCGACTTTTTACGTGGTAGGTTAGAATTTCAACCTACGCTCCAATTACAAAATGGCTATCATGTTTAATTGGCTCAGGACTAAATTCAGCTATGTATGCGTTTCTCTTCATCAAAACTATCACCCGTAGGAATCATGTAAATGTTTAGCACTGTCAACCGTGTTGCTTTGGCAAAAAAATATCGTAAAAAGTCACGCCTGATGCCCTAGGTTCTGCCGCACGTACACTCCGTTGGAAGTGAAAAATATCGTCATAGACTTGAGTAAATCAATGATTTACAACAACGATTGTGCTCATCAGTAGCGAAAAAATCAATTATATTGCATCTAGTTGTGGTGACATTCACCAAATCTTGATGTCGATGATTTTCCAGGAAAGTCCTCTATGGTTGACAATGATAATCTAATACAACTCAATTAGAGGTGAAGTTTATATTAAATCGCAACGTGTACTATTTTTGTCATAAACTTGTTATATATACATATATATATGTGTGCTTACAGCTCAAAGTCTGCATATTTTTCAGTGTTCATACATCCTTACATTCCGGTTTCCGTGTAATTTTCAGAACATCCACTTTTTAAAATACAATAAACTTATTTCTTCCATTCTTGAAGTGAATGTACTCACTAGCACAAATAAGGATTCTACTAATGCAAGTTAAACCGGTATATTTAACCCGAATTTTAGCAGTGAGCTGGATTTCAGTGTTCCAGTACTGTGATGAAGTTTGCATTATCTGCCACATTTTTGTAAACTTTTGGCCTGGAGCGGTTTGTCAAGTTAATTTAATATTTTTAATAGCTTGGTGATCATAATTTATTTTGCAGCAAAATATGTAGCAAATTTGTTGGCATTTTTCATTTCTTACTTGCGATGCGTAACAAGGAAACGCTGATTTTTCTAGCCCTATGCTGTTAGAATTTCAATGGGTGCTCAGACAAAAAGCGCGGTTGTGTTATTGATGATGTCCAAGAAGTATTCGTGGATTTCCAGCACAGGAATTTTAAATGATCGTGTAAAGAATGCATACCTAAAACCCAAGTATTACTGTTCCTAGTCGAGCAACGACTGGAAAACCCTGTAATATTACAACATTGCTCAAACCTTTCAGCAGTTGAATCTTTCAAAGACTAGAACACAATATTACTCAGAACGGCCAGTAAGGATTAAGGTACTTGGCTGAAACAGGCAGCCTCCTAGATCTACAATAAAGGCGATATGCGAATATTAGAGTACAGAACCAAAAAGGAGGGTCGAATTTATCGACAATTTTTACACTAATCATTTGTTGTCACGGAAACAGTAGCATCGTTGACTTAAGATAACTTAAGATCACTTAAGATAAACGAGCCCAAAATCCAAAGCACCTTACCGTAAAATTAAGAAAGATGGGTTATCCTACTCAGTTTTGAGATGATGAGGGAACAAGTCGTTTCAATTAACATTTTGAAGTCCGATTGTTTTTGGAGAGAGTGGAACGTATAACTGCTATTGTAATTAGGAAACTCCGACAAAATTTACTTCATTTTTTAGAAAGCGAATTGCACCCAAAATTGCCCGGGTTTCCAGTTATATGTGAAACTAATCCACTCTATCTTGTTTCCTAGTTAACAATCTAATCTTCTCTCTCAGCGCATAAAAAATTTGTTGTAACGATTGCCGGTTCGTCCTACAATTGTCATATAATATCGACTCCGAATGGTTCATATATCTCCTTGAAAATTATCATTAAGATTGGGAAGCTTGATTTTGCCCATGGTGAAAAACTTTTTTTGTTATTCCGCAGAAAGATGTTTTGGCTAATATTGCTGCAAAATAAACATCCATCAAGAAAAAATAGGCTAAAATCTGTGAGGTCTTATACTGAGTAATCTTGCGAACTGCCAGCATATGTTAACAGGCATCTTTCTCAAAGGTGAAATGAATGACATTTTTAGATAAGGATCCAGGAGAACGCAAATGACTAAATTGCTCAAGTACAAACAAACCGATCATACAATAGTTTAGGGTTAAAACGATTAGGGATTTAAGACGAAGATTAAGGAGATCATTTGTTGACAGACCACTTTTAAATTTGAATCGAAATTCTACCCAAAAAGTATAATCAACCTACAGCAGCGGCCTAATGGTTTAGTGTCCCAGCTCATTTGATGGGTCGAGCATGCAGTGAATTGCGGGGTTTGTGAATTTCCGTAGGATACCACAGCCTTATAGTGCTTCTTCGCATGCACCTATGGTCTGAATTTATTTGAAAGATGCGTCTTGATTGACAAACACAATTTAGTTAGTTCTAATTATTGATTCATGTAGAGAAACCTTACGGTATATTGCAAACCCCTCCATCAGGAACAATAACTTGCTAACTATGCCTGAAAATCAGGTGCATGTTGCAGCTTTTTGTGTTCAAAGCCCTGTTTCTAATTCGGGGAATGCAAATTGTTAGTTAAAAATGGTTGTTGCTGAGAATCAGACTTTGATTAGTTTCATCTGCAATGCTGACCTTTTAATCAGTAGTAAACTTTGGTTGTTGAACATAAGACGGGATCGCTCGCACCGCGGTTTGCCTCTGAGTTAATGGGTCAGTATTTATTTACTGAATGTCATATGATTCTTATAGCATAAAAAACAATCATTTGGGATTACGACACCACCATATTTTGAAATTCTGAAAGCAGCACAGGGAGATGAATGTGGCATTCTTTGCCCAGCTCAGCCCAATTTGACTCAATAAATCAGCATTTCTGTCGATGTTTCTAGACAAGAAAAATCGTGAGTGACTAAATTTCAAGTTCAAAAGTCTTAGTGATTAAGTCAAGTCAAGTGCAATTCAGAACTGAGATATCCTGCTAATCCATGACTCTGGGAAGATAAGGGTCTTTGTAGCTTTGATATTGCTTCAACTCAGAGTATTCCACAAATGAAAAAACATATGGTGTAACTTAATTACCAAAAGCCACTGGAGGACGGATCAAAGCACATAAAAACACTCCGGCCAATGATAACTTCAAAGAATGCGAAAAACATTTTACTCCTAAAATAAAACGCCAGTTATTTTATTGAAGAATACTAGTTAGCTTCAGGTTCGTCAGAAGCTCACATAAAACAAGAAACAAGCACGGGTACTGGGATTTTCCAGCGGACGCGGTAATGACTGATTACATAATGAGTCAACGTTTCTACATTGACACTGAGCATTACCATGAAAAATACCTCATGGTATTAACTGAAATTAAATTCATACTACCTTATTTTGGTTCTATCTTGTATTAGTTTGAAAAACTGTACCGCAAAGCACCTAAACTACCATATTTCAACATTCCGTTTAAGAGGATCCTGTCCGGCAGTCACAAAACGATTCGACATTCAACTAACAAATACAGAACACGATACTGCGAAGTGATTGACTCTATTTGATCTTAATAAAAGGCTTGCATTGAGATCATCCGAATCACCAGTTTATGAGTGTGCTACAAAAGATCGCCTAATGTTTCGTTTGGCACAATAAACGAGATGTCGTTCTACAAATCACACTTACTCGAACCCTTGGAGAAGCAAGCGACTTTCAGATGGCTAACCCTTTCTGAGTAAACCTTGAATGGAAATATTCGGCTAAACCCATCTATGGTGAGACTTGGTAAACTGATTGCTTACATGACAGACAAATTTGTGAATGGAATAAATGTCCACCCATATCCACGTTATGAGCGCACCACACTTTTCAAGAAAAAAACGGGCTCTATGAATTGCTGAGTGCTTACTCAAAAGGGTTCATTCTAAAAACAGCCTTCAATACAGGGTAGATAAACGTAATTTACATATTCAAGGTTTGGAAAGCTTCTATCTGGGTTGGGGCGAATTTCTTTTTTGTATAGAAAGAATGCTCCAGGCGCCTAATAGTCCTGCATATTTGTAAACAAAACAGCGCAGCACAAAAGATGCTTCTTGTCTGTGTCCCCAGGTCACTGAGAATGAAACTTTGCCAGTTTATCAAGACAGTATGTTCTTGTATGGTCGTCTGAAGTTTTAGGATATCCTTCGGCTTCTGAATTAACCAGACGCCAAAACTTTCGGATGTACCGCATGTAGATTTAAGGATGAATTACTGATTAGTCAGAACAAGTTAACAAGGGTCTCATGTTGTAACAGAAACCCATAACGGCGACGCGTGTGACTTAGTCTGTCTAAAACGGTAGTCATTTCTGACTTTTGGGTGTTACACAGGAATTTACAGTACAGAGTTCTCTTTTGAAGAACGAATTAGCCATCTGTGAAACTTAAAGTTGACTCATTATCGGTTTTAATTGGTTGAAGCTTTTGATGGAAGAACGTGGGGCGAATTTCGCTCCTCGTAAGTTGTCTCCTCGAAGGATGTGCTTGCCCTCGCCGGTTTCTTTGAAGGCAGGAGTATAATCATACCTTACTTGTGTGTCAGCCACATCTCAGGTAGTGCATTTTTATCTTCTTCGCCCTGTAGTGATACATGAACAAATTTTGGATCTATCTGGATAGAACGCGTTCATTTGCTGATGGCGTTTTACAGCTGTGATTTGAAACTATCCTCACTTGCTCTATCTTATTTTAAATGACTGCGTGAAATTGTCAGCAAACGCTTAAGCCTCCGTGGGAATAGTAGTCATTTTATAAAAACCGTCCTTTATCACAACAAAATCGTCTTGTTTATTATGTAAGCAACACTAGTTAGCGTTTGACGTTTCACATTCTTGAGAAACCAAAGGTCGTGACTTTAAGTATAGTTTCGTGGTTCATTCCTTCCCCAAATATGACGTCACCTACACATCTCCAAATCCTATCGAATTTGCCCCATGCGACTTATCTTCCTCAGCATACCCGTATATTGAGCCTCTTCTTTATCCTTTGGTGATTTTCTGACACGATAACCGCTTGTCATATTGCTTATGAGATGTTTCCTTGGTCTAGTATTCTCTTTCATACTCGTTGCCTTAAAATGTCATCGTGAAACTGTCGGTTTCTTGAGATAGGTGATTCTATCCTACATATGAAGTCTTCAGGCGAAGTTTCCAGGCCAGTGGCTTGAGTGAGGATTCGTACAATTTATGTTTACTACGCCGGCCGTGTTCGACTAAAAATCTGGATTGCAGTCACATTCTTAATCTACTTTTGCACCACTAGTAAGAAAATTGGGTAACCTACGGCAATAAATAATGTACTGCTGAGGCTGACGGGCCTTTCTAATCGCTTGTGGGCAAACATCCTGCGCAGTATGTTTTTCACTGGCCAGTGACCAAATTTATCAAGTTGCAGTCTCATAGTCTGTGCCAACTGTCAGCCAGGGAAGAACGGTATCCTAGGGTGGTTCGTGCATAGAAAAAATAATCAATTTTGACCCCAACTCCACTCTTCTCAAAAAACATTCTTTTTGGTTTTTATTTAATGTTTCACATGCATCCAACCGCTTCTGCCTTGAGTGATTATACAGACATGGTCTTGATGACTAAGTTTCCTTGTTTCTTTACCATTTTTACCGTGTATGTAGATCTGTTGGGAAACATTTTGACACTACATTATTCAACAGGAGACTAGATTTGAAGAGCAAGCCAAACTAAACACAAGCGTTCTCAGGCACTTGAACTAGCCCGGCTTTGTTTGACCCATATTAATTCAGCCAACAAGGGATTTTTACCAGCCGGTACAATGTATATAAATTTAGGGTAACCATCAGGTGACGCAACAAGCTCAAAGGCTGAAAAATCACTTATTAACATTAGTTTGATGAATATCACATGGTAAAAAAGTGCCAAGCAGAAAAATTCATACGCATAAATCTAGAAACCCTATTGCCGTTTTAGTATACTTGTTTGAATCTGCGCAGTAAGTTTGAAAACCAAAGTCAGTGCAGTGGGTTCCGTCTGGCGTACAACTCAAAAAAGAACGTATTTGTGTGTTGACAGTACGGAAGAGTTGCCTTTCATATAATTATTCCTTCAAAAAGCAGTTCTCTATTTGAGCCAACAACCCTTACCAAGGTACTCTATTGCAAGAACAAGCTGTTGGTAAAATCACCGCAGGAATGCAAGGTGCAACAACTATTACACCTTAGAGGATGGGCAATAAGACCAACCTGCTCTTCAAAAAAAGCACAGTAAGCGAAAACCTAACACCTTTTAGCACCTTTTGAGGAAACAAGAAAGACAGCTTCTTCAGACCTGACACTCTATGTCACTGTCAGGCTTGCTGATTGCAGACGAAGACAAAGGGACTTTGCTCAAACTTGCAAGATGATACTATATCAGGTGAGTAGAACATTCTCGAAGGTTCCATACAACGGATGTTTTTACTCCTTGAACTTCCATAAAGTCGCAAAGCGATTTTAAACCATTTTACCAAATTTAAACGGGTTTAAACAATTTTAACAATGACTGCTTATTATCGTTGGCTTTTATAACCCTAGAAGTAACGTAATCGAAATCGCGTTAGGTCAACTCGTCTTATTTCATTTGCTCCTGTTTTTTCTGTCTGTGGAAATCCCTATCTTCATATACCATCTATGATGTCACCATGATTACTTTAAAGCTAAGTAAAAGCGTATTTACTGCAGCTTATATGATTACTGGATAATTCGACTCAAACGTTCACACTATACGGGACGTGAAACCCGCGTGTATGTTGTCTTGCATTCCTAAAGAGTCAAATTATTATTAGAAGTATCGTGGTTAGAGGCATTTATGCATGACTTTTAAATATTCAGCAGCATTGAAGTGCTAAACGCTTACCAGTAACAAGAAACTTTAGTAATAGATATTCGTTGTCTATTACTGGATGCAGCTGAAAGGCAAACACTGAATTGTCTATTTTGCTTTACTTTCAAAAGTGGATTGTAAACTAGCATTTCGACATTTAGATCAATACGTGCTTTCATTACGGATAATTGTTTCATTAACTGTTTCCGGGGGGTATCTAAGTTCATTTTGTTGCGCTTATCTGCATGAAGCGATTCTACACGCGGTTACGTAAATCGTGTATAAGTCATACGCTGTGTATATGCTTTGCTCAAAGAGACACGTTCCTGGGTTTGGTAATCAGAAGTTTTCGCCTGCGACGTAACAACATGCATGTATCCTTAAAGTGCTTCTATAGGATTGGTAACAACGTGTGAAGATACAATACATGCACGGATTCCCTGAAGCATTTATTGACTGAAATTCCACTGTACCTCAGAGGTGGACGTTCTTTCTTCCATGTGTGCTGTGATACGGTGCGGATGCGCAAAACTGCCGCAGTTCCACAAACCTTGCCGACTGAAAGTAGTAATAACAGTAAAAACAGAAATCGAATCAGTTACAGTAAGACGTTACTTAAACTTTTGTTTGCCACATGGTTCGTTGGCTATTTGACCACAAAGTTTAACTCACACAAAGGAGAATTGGTTAATAGCCATAAAACACAAATATTTGTAACGTGTACTTATGACTATATTACACTTCTTTCCTTCACCATGATACTGTCCTAAACCTTCTACGGAAACCTTCCTCCATGGGAGATCAGATCCTGTTTGATATCGCGTAGCTTAACTATCTCCCCGCACCTTTATTTCGTCGAAGAGAGCCGTTGTGGCCTTGAGTAAACCGGTATTCAGGCTTCCTTATATTACAGGCTTTGAGGTTGCATCATATGCTGCTTCTTGAGCGGTCGGCTATGGAGGACGGCATTGACTTGTAGCCCACGAACGTCTTGGACTTCAACAACATACAACTGATTTGCATTTGGAAAATATTTACACGAACTTGTACGCTCACTATGGATCTGTCGTCGTTTAGAGGGATAATATGTGGCCAAAGTTGTACCTGACAATGGTCTGAGGAATTACAAATCAATAGGAAGTATGATATAGCGTAAAATTTTTGAAAAATGTTTTGCTCATCCAGTGGACTTGTGGATAGAAGTACTGTGCTAGTAGACGTCCAGGCACAGACCAATAAAAAGTCGAAATTTTGCATACCCATCTTAAGGAGTTCCATGAAATATGATCGCTTGTTTAACAAACTATTTTTCTCTATATCGTGAGGTATGTTGTGGGTTTCGCTTATTTGCCAAGCGTTGCACGTCTTATGTGTCAAGTTGTCTGTAAACTTCGACCTAAAATCATAGTACAGTTGACAAAGTACACCGTAACACCAAACCTAGCGCGCAAGGAATGCGTTTATTACTATGTCTTTACCAACTCTTAAGTGACTTTCATGTTCACTAACAAAAATGCAAATCTGCTTTACCTGAAAAACCCCTCATTTATCTTATGCTGTTTATTAAAAAAATCTTTATGTTGTGGCTGACTTCAACCTTTGAAACAGCACTCTAATCTGATACAGCTGGCAGTAAGTTGGCCGTTTTGCCTTAGGCAATTCGCCTGATGTGTTGCGGTCTTCAATAATGAATGCACTCGGTATGTCTCCATACAGCTTTCCGTAAAACCGCAGAGAACTATTCAGCGGCAGAAATAGTTTTGATGTTCAAGTTGTGGATCATATTTTATTGTAATATTGTTGAATATCCAACCAATATACTGAATTTAGTATCTTACGCCCTATATCTTTCTCATTTTTGATACTTCAGTTTTATGTCCTCCACCATTACAAAAACTCACGGTTCAGGGTAGTTTGGCTGCAATTTTGCCATCTTTTTATGATCATCATCTCTTTATGACCAAAGTTACGTGCCACAAGATTTCCTTTAGTTGTCAAAAGCGTTACTTGCTCTGCCGATTATCAACTTTAAAGCTGCATTATTGAGGAACTTATAATTTTAAACAGACTACATCCTGAAATGGTTAGTTTAGAGATGTTGCAGAAGCCTATCAAGTTAAATAAGCAAACTTCATCACAAACATGCTAAGGGAACCACCAATCTCTCTTGAATAACCCTGTCTATCTTGATGCACAAACCAGTTGCACAAATGGTAAGCTTGGTTTAGATCAAAGACCAACGTTCTGACTCACCTCTTTTTTAAATAAGTGTTTTTCGCCCAAAGGGTATACTGCAATGTTGACGTGTCATGCCAACTGCAAAATGAGGCGGCCTGTTTCAGCACGTTGAGTTGCTTACTAGCACTATAAACTATATATTCAGTTGTGTTCCAGGTAAGCCTCCGGTTGAAAGAAACTGGTACGTAAATTGGTGTAAATTGCTAATTTCGAGCAATTTTAGTTAATGAAGAAAATGAGATTGTCCGGAAAATTAAAGACTGTGTCCAATTGATTAACCACCAGATAAAGCCGGAAGTGTGTTGTCGTAGAGTTTTCGGCAATCTCTAGAGTTGCGAGTTGCGTCTCTGGTGTGGCCTGAAGTAAGCACGTCCTTACATTCATAATTTTAAAAACAATGAAAAGAAAAACTATTTAGGTGCAACAAAATATGGGTTTCAACAGATTAGTCTTAATTTGTCTTAATTGTTGCCTGTAACTTTAAAGGATGATTGCCGACCCTCCCTAAATTTGGGTCCTCAGCAAACAGCGGATATTAGGACCTTCGGCTTGGGCTTCAAAAGAGAGCAGATCACAGTAAATGTTTCCAAGTAGAGCCCCAATTTTCTATACGTCAGTAAGAGATTTGATACGCTTTTGCTTACTCGAAGTGCAATCGTTTACCCTACTAAGAATCACTCTGTCTACTGCAGTATCAGGACTCTGATTTCAGAGCTTGTTGATTTCTCCGGTGATATAATAAGTTGCATCCAATTGAATATCTTTTAGGGGTTTACGTATACAATGCAGTTATCAACCAAGTAATCAAGCTGTTCCTATTCAACAAGAGATCTGTGAAAAAATTTCACTTTTTGGAACCCTCATGTTATTGCGTACGCAAATTTATGGCCCTATAGTTTAGTTCTAAGTCGATCTGCGAAGGTGAACTAAGTCATTTTAGTATTGGTAATGTCTTGTAGCCACATGATTTGTGATATTTACCCTTAGAGTAATAGTGCAGTTTTTCTGACGCTCTAGGACGCATGCTAGATCATTAGTCCTTCAAAATATTTGAGGGTAGCAGTGGTTATCACCTGGTGTAAAAGATTCTTAGCGGCTTCAGCTTAATCGCCTGTACTGACGTTGCGCACAGTTACTGAGGCAGTTTTACGCTAGGCTTTTAAAGATACCTGGGATGTTTGACTTGAAGATAGATTTTGCTTGATACCAAACAACGAATATTTTACGTGAAAATAAGCTTGTTTCTTTCAGGTAGCTTAACACGAGTTTCTTAAGAAACGTTTATGGAACAATCCTGTGTTCCATATTTTTAGCGCGGTCCGAATCTAACTTATTTCTACAGAGATCACACCGATCTTTTTCATCAAAGAAGAGAAAGCAGGCTTATCTATTCGCTTAAATGAAAAATTTCATGTATCATTGGCTGGTTGTTTCTGGTGGATCCTATCTAGATGTACACCTGAATTTGAAAAGCAGGTTCATCGTGTTAAGGGTGTCGGAGACTGGTGTCAACTATATTATGCATATAAATGCATATATATGCATATATACATACATTCATATACACATACATTCATATATATACATACATACATACATTCACACCTAACGTCTAAAACGGCACTGTCACTTAGTCCATCGAGTTTCAATGTTTAACCGCATATTTAGTTTCTGCTATCTGAATGTTGGATTGATTGATGTGTCTGCCTAAACAACGCAGCTTATGTAGAAAGTTTCTGGCACTGGCGCTTTACCTCAAGACTACAAGCGCGATCGATTGTAAGGGGCGGAAGATAAACGTTTCTCGTTGTAAATATATGAAGGTGGGCGGTGTTTAAAATTGTCCATAGAGTTTCCATGACTTCAAGAAAGTCATTTCTCTTTCAAAATACAAAAGGTCTAACAAAATCATGGAGACCGTAAACATTTGGGTATGTCTTATCAACACTAAGGCCAAAAATCACAAAAATTGGTATTCCAGCAGCTTGAATTACGGAGTTCATTGCATGTCTGCAAATCTAATGGGTCAATTGACGAGACAAAATATATCATGTCGTGAGTCATTTAGTCAAGTGTCTAAACATTAAAAATTCTTTTGCTACTTCATTTTAATAGCCTCTTAAAAACCGAAAAACAGAGAAATTTCAGCATCCAGGAGGTTAAGCTATATTAATTTGATCTTGAATCTTGAAGAAGATAAGTTTAGCACGTGCTCCATCGCAAAGTGTGAAGGCATTTGTCGAGTTCGCTTGCGTGACGTCACTTGGAAACTGCTGAAAAAGTTGGCATAAAGTGATATACCAGTAGATTGTTTTCTCATGATTGAATGTGATGCTTACTCATGATCACGGCTACAAAGAGGCGGTTCTGCAGCAATACATGTCTGTTTAGTGCCATAGCCACGCGCTTAGGTAGCTCCGCTAGTAGGATGTCTTCCTTAGAGGTGCGTTTTACGTAGTATTGGTTCTTGGGTGCAGTATCAATTCTGTTGTGGTTAACTTTCTCTTTAACTTCCTGTTAAGGAAAAGTCAACTCGTATTCTTTTTCCCTAATTTCCAATCCAGCGGCAACGCAGTATGCAGGATATATTTAAGAAAACCCTGTGAAAGACAGCTTTGCTACACTCCGTTTGTACTTCAACAAGGTGAGGAGCCAGAGTTGTCTGTGGAAATACTGGAAGCCGTTGGCTTCGTTAGGCATCTGGTAAACACCAACGATACTTTAGGTGAAACTGACAAATAGGTTTAGCGTCTGGTTACCACCTGAGTACCACTAACTGTCAACCAAATTTTCTGCTGCATGAGCTTCCTTTGCTTCAATCACAAATAATAAATAAAAGCTAGGCTCAGTATGCTGCCTAATGCGACCTTGTTAACAAAGTAATAAGGCAAGTATAAGAGCTTCGAACTGGCATTCTTAGTGAAAAACGGGAGTTCATCAACAGAAATTCCTATCAATATTTAAAAAAAATATGTCGGCACAAAAAATTTCGGATATGCGCAGAACCGATAGTTTACTGTGCATGAGTGCTTCTGAAATGTGCTTACACCTCCATTGACTCTATGTGCTTATCCTCATGACAAAGACTCCCTAAGTAATCCGCAAGGTCCGGTGAGTTAGGGATTTATTAGTAAATAAGATTTTTCCGGTTAGGAGCCTTAATAATTAAGTGAAAATAACAAATCATCAAGGATTTGTTGTGTTATTCAAACAGCCGCGCTGATGCTATTACCACAACTCGTAAGCAATCTTTCGTTGGTTCGTCCCATGCACAGTAGACCTGCAGGATAAATACCTCATTTGAGACTGTACAGCTCCACAAAGTCGCTCGATGGCGCACTAGGTGTCACGACAACACTCGCATCACATGCATATAGAAACCGTGTAAGCGGCCAGTGACTATAATTTAAAAACGCTTCACCTTGAGCAAAGACGGAGTGCAGCTGGGACAGACAGTGAAATAACTCTGCAGCAGTGCATATAAACCAAAGTAATGTTAACTTTATTGTTAAATACCCTACGAAGCCTTTCATGAACTCCTCACAGGTGAGAAAAATGGGAAAACAAAGGTTGTGGTAATAGTAATTTTCTTTGACTTGCGGTCCATCCTACATATGAATTGATGCATTCAAAAACAATGTCGTAGAAGCAACATTGGACTCACAGATACGTACACGTGTAGAAATTACTTATATGATGAGAAGGTTCTTCTTTTTATCAGTATTAGAGTATGCCCCTTCAACAATTTTTATTCAGGTATTCGCCAAAAGCTAATGACCTAGAAATCTGCAATTATGATCTACAAAAACAACGCTCATCTGCGACTCTTCATTTATGGATTCGCTGATCGAAACTTTCGCCCAAATTTCTCGGGTCTGTTTTGTTCCTGTCCTTCAGCGGGCTACCGTTCACCTGAAAGGCACAAGTGAAAAAAGTGTACAGTATTGCTCTTTAATTTGTCAGCGTTTGGCAATATGTTCGCCCGTGCGATGACTGGCATACAAAGTGTCCTATAGTGCTACGAACTGGGCTCTAGATGGATCGTGGAAAACTGTCGGAAGAAATTTATTCCACTCAGCAACTGCTCGAAATGTGAGAAGATCTTGCTCAATGAAAATGTGTGCTCTGAACTTGGAAATCTTACCATATCCTGACCGTGTGATTGCTTTGTCAACGGCTAAAACCTGTTGGCCAAATCTTTTTCGAACAGGGCATAAGTAAGAAGTGGGTCTCCTCGGAATTGTCGATACTTCAGTGGGAATAGGTCAAACCACGAGAAACCCGATATTCAAACACGTCCTTACACTACCATTATTTGCCTCCACACTTATGGTGATCCTTCTGACCATTGTACATTTGTACTTTCTTTGTAACTTATCATTACGCAGTTTGTACCACTTTCTATCTCTCGCTAAAATCTCAGCTTACTCCTCTTCTCTTCATACCGAATAACTTTTGTTTAAAATGAACGAAAAAGAAATATGGACACAATACAAATTCTGTACCTCGTTAATGTATTGCGTGTCAAAAGAGCAAAGTCCATCGACATACTGTTACTGCTCTCGGTCATTTTTCCAGTCCTGATAGTCGGTTTAGCCATGTTCACATAGACCTTGCTGGCCCGTGGCCTCCGTCGCACAATTTTTCGTATGTTTACACATACCTTGATCGTTTTACACGCTGGCCTATCGCCGTGCCGATCAAAGACACACACTTCGAAACCGTGCCTCATGCTTTTCTCGAGTCATGGATTGCCCATTACGGAGTACCAACAACAAGCACTACGGACCGCGGCCCACAGTTCCAGTCTTCGCTCTTTGGAGACCTTAGCCGTCTCCTTGGATCGACGCACATCCACACTACCGCTTACCACCCGTGTGCAAACGGTTTAGTCGAGCGTTCCCATCGACAGCTGAAAGCAGCATTGATTGATTGCGGTAGTCCTCAAAATTGGGCGGAGCATCTCCCGCTCGTACTTTTGGGGATCCAGTCTGCAGTGAAAGGGGATTTAGGCTGTTCGACCGCCGAAATGGTTTACGGCAGCCCTCTCCGACTCCCTGGCGAGTTTGCTGCTGAGCAGAAGGAAGCTGTGAGAGTAGACCCAACAATGTATGTTAATCGTTTACGCTCCTTTGTGAGAAATCTCAGAGCTCAACCAACGCGTTTACATACTCGCGCATCACAAATCTCCCCAGTGCTACAATATTGTGACTTCGTTTTCGTTAGGGTTGATCAGGTGAAGAAACCGTTACAGCCACCGTACGTCG